AGGGTGGGCGAGTGTAAGGCCGCGATCCCCACAGGAGTTCCTGTGAGAGAATGGGGGCAGGGAGTCGCTCTTAGTTCCTGGCCGCACCCCACGCCTTGCGGCGTGGGATGGATGGGAAGCGGGCCCTGGAGAGGGCCTCCGGGCTCTGCCTTCTCTGGGGTATTTGTGTTAGTCTGGCGCCCTCGAGCTCTGCGGGGTCCAGTGTTGGGGGCGCAGAGGGGGCGCCAGACAGTCTTTCCCGAAGCCAGAGAAGCCTCCACTTGGGGACGCTGAGACCAGAGGGAGATCATCGGGCAGAAGAGAGGATCCCTTTGAGTTCAGCGATTTAGCGCACAGGACTGAGGAGGGGGAGGGCAGAGGTGCAGCCAGTAAAGTCTCCTGAGGCCCCAGTAGACCAAGGCGACGGAGGGGCCAGGCGGGACAGAACGCCAGCGAGTTAGGGCTCCCATTGGGGTTCTGGGGAGCGAGGGAAACACAGCATTTACAGGTGGAAAGAGCTGGGGGTCTTGGGGCCAAGCAGGTGCCCTCCCCTTTTGTCCGGCTCACCCCTTTCACAGACTGACCCCATTTTGTCCTCCTGACAAGTGAATAAGCCCTGGAGATGAGAAGATTGAGGCTGGGTAAGAGAACCGATACTGGGTGGGCTTGGAGGGCTGGGGCTCAGGGGCATGGAGCCAGAAAATAGGCTCAGCCACCCCCCAGGGCAATGGGTCCACCAGGTGAGAGGGAAGAGAGATTGCAGTCCAAGTCTCGGCAAAGAACACTCCTCTCTCCCAAGAAGGACCCGCTGAGTGGACTGTCCTCCAAGGGACAGGAAAACATTGAGACCCCGAAACCTCAGCTGCTGTGATGAAAGACCGTCCGAATCTCCTCACAGAGAGAGGGAATGCGTTTCTGAAAGCGCCACTGAGCTGAGCCTTGGAAGCAGCCCAGAGGAGCGTGAAGGGTCTTGCAGAGACTGCACAGCTGACTCCAGCCCAGGCTCCTGAAGGACGTTGTGCAGTGAGAGAGAAGCAGAAGATGTGGATGCTGGCACCCACTCTTACCGTGGGTGCAGGAACGAGAGCCATCCGAGGATGAGCAGAGAGCACTCCACGGAGAAGAATGTGGCAGCCGCAGCTGGGGTGGACCACGGTGCATAGAGATGGGATGGAAGCAAGAAACCCAAGAGAGCTGGTCTAGGAGATGAGTTGGGGGGCGGCAGCCAGATGACTGGCCAAGAGGGGCTCAAGCATGGGTCTTTTGAAAGGGCAAAGGGAGAGGAGAGGATGCTGCCCCTGGTGGAAGCCCAGCCACGGGCAGTAAGGGCATTGTTCAGAGTGAAACTTGTCCAGCCACCACAGGGAGAGAAGGTCGCTGGAAATGTGAATCTGGAGCTGGGTGCTGCAGCAGGCTGGTTTGCCGTTGATGGAGTGGGAAGGGGCGGTGCTCTGTTGGAGACAGAGGAAGAATGGTCAGAGGGAGGAGAAAAACCAGAGGGGGCTGGCGTCATGGAAACTGGGGAGGAGAGAGTTTCAAGATAGTGGGGCTGGTCATCACAGGACACTATACTCACAAAGTAGCAAGTCCCCCTCACCATCCTAAGACCCTACAGCCCAGTGTTTCACAAAACCTCAGTGAGCGCCAAGATTAAAAATCCAGGTGAGCCAGGCACAGTGGCTCAAGCTTGTAATCCCAGCACTTTGGGAGGCCGAGGTGAGAGGATTGTCTGAGCTCAGGGGTTCGAGACCTGCCTGGGCAACTTGGTGAGACCTCATCTCTACAATAAATCAACAAATAAGCTGGGTGTGGTGGTGCACACCTGTAGTTCCAGCTACTTGGAAGGCTGAGGCGGAAGGATTGCCTGAGCCCGGCGGGTGGAGGCTGCAGTGGCCGTGAGCATGCCACTGCCCTCCAGCCTGGGCGACAGAATGAGACCGACTCAAAAAAAAAAAAAAAAAAAAGCCAGGTTATTTAGAATAACATGAGGTCCAGGTTTCAGATTCCCTTTAAAAAACTTGAAGAAGGCTGGGCTCAGTGGCTCAGCCTGTAATCCCAGCACTTTGGGAGGCAGAGATGAGAGGATTGCCTGAACCCGTGAGTTCAAGACCAGTCCGGGCAACTTGGCGTGACCTCGTCTCTACAATAACTAAAAAATTAGCCGGGTGTGCTAGTGCGCACCTGTAGTTCTGGCTACTTGGAAGGCTGAGGCAGAAGGATGGCCAGAGCCCAGCAGGTCGACATTGGGGTGGCTGTGAGCTTGCCACTGCACTCCAGCCTGGGCGACAGAGTGAGACTCCAACTCAGAAAAAAAAAAATCTGAAGATGTGGCCCAGGGACCCAGAGGGCTGGGGACTAAGTACTATCCTACCCCCACCAGGTGACTCCCAGTACCTGGTCAGTGAGGGAGGGAGCCCTACAGGCAGGGCAATGTGGCTCAGGCTGTGGAGACGCAGCTCAGACTCCACACCAGCACACAGGCTGGGGACTAGTCTGCCTGTAGGGGAAGGGGGAGGATTTTGCCTCGAAGGGGTGCCTGTAGACCGGGGCTCAGGGAGACTAAGTCTAGGCTTTGGGAGTTGGCAGGGGCCCAGTGGTCTTATCCCATTGACCTCATTGTACAAATGAAGAAACTGAGAGGCCTGCCGCGGGGGTTAGTCGTTTTGCCCGGTTGGCCAGGAGGAGATCAGGACTAGGCTGGGGTCCTGCAGCCTTCAGGGATGCGCCTAGAACCCACTCTTGGTGGCGCCCTCCCCCATCACCCTACCACCAAGGAACCCATAGGTGGGGAAGGCCTTGAGTGACCAACAAAAAATGGCAAAATATGAAAAAAGTAGCATCTGGAAGTGACCAGGGCCTGGCAGTGGGTGAGACTGTGACCCCAGCACCTGAATCACCCCATTTCCTAGGCCTGGCCAGTCTAGAGAAAGCGCCAGACTGGGAGCAAGTTGAGGTTCTGGGAGCAAACTCTGGAAGGGCTCTGTTGTTGGGCCCTCCCCCTCCTGTCTCCCTAGGTGGGCTCGTCCAGTCCTGGGACTGCAAACACCCTTCAGATGCTGACGATGCTGGGGCCTCTCCAGCCCAACTTCTGCCTCTCTCCTCGGCAGGATAGCTACTTTTTAAATTTTTGTAGAGATGAGGTCTCACTGTGTTGTCCAGACTGGTCTCAAACTCTTGATTTCAAGCAGTCCTCCTGCCTTAGCCTCCCACCTGCGTCCAGCTGTCTCCTGCCAGGCCCACTTGTTCTCGGGGTGCAGCTACCATGGAGCCCGCTCCTCCCAAACTTGTGCAAACAATTCTGCCCGGAAGGAAGGGGACTCCTCCCTGATTTCCCTCTTCTCTCCCCCCGTATCCAGTCCGTTGCTCTCTGACCCTCGGCAT